GGAACTACAGGTGTGCGCTATCATGCCCGGCTAATTTTTTTGATTTATTGTAGAGATGAGGTCTCGCCAAGTTGCCCAAGTGGGTCTCGAATCGCCGGCTCAGGCAATCCACTCACCTCGGCCTCCCAAAGCGCTGGGATTACAGGCTGAGCCACTGAGCCCGGCCTGTTTTTTCTTAATTACCTAAAGCTAAAGCTTTTTGTCCACCTCACTGCTGGCCTTGCCCCGCTGGCAGCATACCCAGGGCAAAGGGACCAACGTCCAGGCTCATGGGGTGAGCTGCCAGCTCCTTTTGCAGGGGTTTCTGCAGAGGGTCCGGCTCAGTTCAGCACCACCAGGACCGCTGCTTCTCACAGCAGATGTGCGGACAGGTGGGGTCAGGCCAAGAGCCTAGGGGTGGGGCAAGAAAGGGACAGGTCCCGCTGCTGGCAGTCTCTGGCCTGGCCTCTTCCCATCACAGCCTTCATGGCAGCCAGCACAGGGTTCCTGACCGCACATGACTCCTGGTTACCCGGTCTTTTCCCCAGCACTGGAAGTGCAGTTTCATGTCGAAAAGGACCCAGGTCACTGAGCAGTGTTTTCATAATCCTAGCCACATGTGGCCAAGCAGACACCTGATGTTCCTGTGTTCTCCACTTCTGTGGGTCTCTTTTTTTCCCTCCCCTGCACCCAGTACAGACGTCAAATCAATTTTGGATCTGGCAGAAAATAATTACAGAACTTTGAATGGATAACAACTTGACTTGTGCCCTGTGATGAGCGCTGTGGGCATGGCCTTACCTGTCCCTCCCTGTCCCTTAAGGTAGTTATCATCAGCCATCTTACAGAGGAGGAGAAGGAGGGCCACAGAGGCTGTGTCATCCACCTAAGTCACACATCAGTTCAGTCAGACTCCAGAGCCCGTATTCTTTCCATAGTAGTACAGACTTTAGTTCAAATTTTTCTGTAGGCTAGACATCTCAGTTTATCACCTTGCCAGCACATTAGATTTCTTCCTGGCTCCTTGCAAATGAAGCCCTCTGCCCAGCCATCGAGGGGCTTCCCCTGAAAGTCCTTGTGTGGAGACCCTTCCTCTGACAGTTAACTCAGAGTCTGCTTCTGCACGTGGCCCTCCAGGTCTCCGGAGTGGCTCTGAAGTGTCACTGTTAAGGCAGTTTGGCCGCCCGGTTTTAGCGTCTTCTGGCTGCCTCCCAAGTTCTGGTTGCTGTCCCTTTTGTATTCAGAAGGAAAGAACGGTAGCTTGTTGGAGGACGCACCATCAGTTAGTGTAGTGTGACATGACACAGGAGGTTCTAACCCTGGAAGCTGGAAAGGCTGGGCCAGGCTCACATACTCTGCAGCCTGCCTCTCTGAGCCCTGCCTTTGTGCAGGGATGCCAGGGATCACGCCGTTGGGTGGGTGTGAGGATGGACTGCTGCCTGCAGCAGTGGCAGAGGGGTGGCTGTGCACCACTCCCTGTCTTGAGGCTCAGTGTTTCAGTGCTGGTCTAGGTATTGTGGGGTTCTCCTTCAACTCCACACTCCCCAGGGGTCTGTAGTCCTTGGTTTCACATTCCTGGCCCACTGGCCGAGTTTCTGTCATGACCTAACAGATGCCATTACTTGGAGCAGACGAGAAGGCAAGGGCAGCCAGACCCTGGAGCTCCCAGCAGGAAGTGGTGTCCTCACTTGCCTGTGCATTCAGACAGATCACAAAAGGACACCACGTTGCTAACGCACTACTTCCAGAGGGCAGGCTGGTGTCTTCAGCAACGTGGAGAAAGGCAGGACTGCAGCCCCAGGCTCCACCATGAGCTTGAGCTCATGAGGCCCTGAACTTGGCTTCTGGGCATCTCTTAAGGAAGCAGCTGGCTGCTCTCTGAATGCTAAAATACTAAGCAGTTGGCCCTAGCCAGCATTTCACATGTTGAGCCTGAATAAGCATTCACGTCATACCTCGTGAGAGCAGATGAGAAAGCACCCAAGTCCCCTCAGCACCTATACTGTGGTGGTCAGAATGTTGCTCAGGTATAGAAGTTATGGGAGGGCATTGAAACATTTGCTTGTGTTTGCTTGAATTTTGGACTGAAGATTAATTCTAGAGTGGGGACCTGACAAAGCGACGATGTGTCCTGGTGAAGGCAGTGCTGCCACCTCTGCCCTTGCTCAGGTGCCGAGCTGTGACCTTGGCCCAAGACAGGTGAGGCTCAAGACTGCCTGTGCTCATGTGCTCTGCTCCCTGGCTAGGTTGCAGCCCCTCCCACGTCACAGTCTACAGCGAGTACGGCGTGGACGTCTTCGATGTGCGCACCATGGAGTGGGTGCAGACCATCGGCCTGCGGAGGGTAAGGCGGGCGTGGGGCCCTCCTGGCGCGAGGGGCTGCTGCAGTCTTCCCATGGCACACACTCATTGTCCACTTCTGACTTTCCCTCCAGATAAGGCCACTGAACTCTGATGGCACCCTCAATCTCCTCAACTGCGAACCTCCACGCCTGATCTACTTCAAGAGCAAGTTCTCGGGTGGGTCTTTCTCCACAGCTGGGGGCAGGGGGCTTTCAGACAGCCTGGGCCGCACCCGTATATGCAAGCAGCCTGAGCTGCACCCTTCCCTGGCTTGGGCTCGCCTTCCTGCTGCACCATGGTCACTGTGTACTTCCCTTCCCAGGAGCAGTCCTCAATGTGCCGGACACCTCCGACAACAGCAAGAAGCAGATGCTTCGCACCCGAAGCAAAAGGCGTTTTGTCTTCAAGGTTCCAGAGGAGGAGCGACTGCAGCAGCGGCGGTAAGAGCGGGATCCCCCAGGGCCAGCCTGGCCTCGCTCTAAGAGGGGTGGGCTGGAGCCGAGGGGATCTCTATGCACTGAATCACACATGTATTTTCTTTCCCCAGAGAGATGCTTAGAGACCCAGAACTGAGATCCAAAATGATATCCAACCCCACCAACTTCAACCACGTGGCTCACATGGGCCCAGGCGACGGGATGCAGGTGCTCATGGACCTGCCTCTGGTGCGTTCACAGGCTGGCGCGTGAGGGCAGGGGGTGTCTGCAGAGACTGGCTCCAAGGCAGGGCTGCCTGAGGCTGTCCCCTCGGGCTCTGCTCTGGCCTGGAGCCTCTGTCCGTAAGGCCTGTCTCAGCTGAAACTCCTTCAGGAGCTCTGTCTTTGTCACGAGGCCCCAGGCCCGGGCAGTGCCTGGGCACTGACGGTATGGTGCCTCTATTGATTAGTGTCTCAGCACCTCAGTCTGCTAGTGTTCCATAAGTACATCAGAGGTTAGATGAGGATTTCTAAATTAACTTCTTTGTGTCAATAGGTAATATACTTTATTTCAGAAAGTGTGTATTCCATAGGGTTTATTTGGCCTAACGTGGCTATTGCCAATTCTTAGTTCCACACTGACCTGAGGCCCTGGACTAGAGAGGGCCCTCGTAGCCACCTTGTGCGAGGTCCTAGGGCCACAGCCATTGGCTGTGGCGCAGACTTTGTGTGGGCCTTGCCTGGTTTCCCACCCCCAGTTGGCACCTGCATGTGCTCATGTATTGCTCTCTCCGCCCAGAGTGCTGTGCCTCCCCCCCAGGAAGAAAGACCCGGCCCCCCTCCTGCCAGCCTGGCCCGGCAGCCTCCGTCCAGGAACAAGCCCTACATCTCATGGCCCTCGTCAGGTGCGGAGGAAGCCCAGCTCCTGTAGCCAGGGGAGGTGGCAGGGGAAAGCGGGGAGGGCTTGGAGGGGATCCCCAGGCTTTCAGTTCTGTCCTCCATGTCATCCCCTAAGACAAGCTGTCCTCTTTCAGTAGGTGGATCGGAGCCTGGGGTGACCGTGCCTCTGAGAAGTATGTCCGACCCTGACCAGGACTTTGACAAAGAGGTGAGACTTGCCTGAGAACAGGATGTGGCTGGCCAGGAGCTGCCATTGCCAGCAGAAAAGCAGCCATTGGTTTGGGATCCTGGGGGCACCACGAGCTCCCCACTCATGCCTCTCAGGCTGGGCAGAGGGAGGTGTGTGTTCCTTCCAGGAGAGGCAGCTGGAGCCAGTGTCTGGCCATCCTCCTCCTCATCTCCCTGGGCAGAGAGGCTACAGGCAGGCGCTAGGCTGGGGACTTTTTCGGGGCTGCAGACTGTGATGAGGCTGTCACACTGCCCCACTAGGAGTGAAAGCTCTCCAGCCAGCCCTCTTCTCTCGGAAGCTCCCCTTCTAGCTTCTCTGTATGGTTTATGTACTTAACTGTGGCATGTGTTTGCTTTCCTTTGGGAAGACCTTCCTCACTGACCTCTGCCCTGTCCCCCTTGGGACAGCCACTTGGTGTCACGGCATGGGGGCCAACTCGGGGACCTGACCCTGCTCCAGCTGGCAGTACCCTCAGGCACTGTGTGGCTGCGCCACTCTGGGCCTCAGTTTCCTTTGTGTGGAGGAGGATTAGGATGCAAAGGTGAGAATCGCCTAGCGCTGAGGATCAAGGAGGCAGCCCTGTGAGTCTCTGCTCTCGATCCTGTTCTAGGAGGGAGGGGGACAGGGAGCTTTGCCACTGCTCCCCACAGGCGTCAGCCCCCACTGGACCACAGGTAACATCTGCCACTGAGCTCACAGGCCAAGGCCACCGCCTGCCTTTCCGTGCTCTGTTGCCTCACTCACGAGTCATTTGCTTTTCTCCTAATGACTTCTAGGGACTGTAATTGTGGTTGTTATCAGCTCAGATCCTTCTCCCAGAATCACTATCTGTTGATTTTGTCTTTTAATTTTAAAGGTGTTTAGTCTTATGGAAGTTGGTAATTTTTATGCAGTCTAGCTATCCTTTTCGGCTAGGGTAACAAATATTCTCTGTGGGCTCTTCAAGAGCTTCACGGGGTTTTCTCTTCTGTTTGTCATTCCATCTTGAAAGTGTGCAAGAGCTTGGGACAGTGTGTGTGTGCATATGTACACGCATCTGTGTGCATGCCTGTGCACATGTGTGTGCGCATGCCTGCGTCTGCTGTGTCTCAGGGCACTAGCCGGGGCTCCCAGATGGTGTCGCCCTGTCCCTGATGGTGCAGGCCCTGTGTTCCTGCTAGAGTCTCCCCATGGAGACTGACGCCTGTCGTTTCTGCCAGTTGCCTTTGCCTGGCTCAGGAGGCATCTTTCTCTCCTAGCTCAGGAAGAGTTTAAGTAAGGATTGGATTATGGATGTTGGCCAGACGCCTTTTTAGCATTTTCCAAGGCGACCTTCCTGGATGCTTTCTAGCACCTGTTGATGTGAGTTGGTATAGTGGATTTCCTTGCATCCTTGGCATAAATCCTCCTTGGTCATTAAGTGTTACTTTTTTAGGGCACTGGTCGATTCTGTTTGTCTTGCTTACAGATGTTCCCTTTGTATTTGCCTGTACCTTTCTTTTTCTGTGCTGTTCCCGGCCAGCTCTGTTCTCAGGGCTGTGCCAGCTCAAGCTCTGAGTTAGGAGGCTTGTGTCTCTCAGTTGCTTTCTTTTTTGAAAGTTTCATAGACCTTCCTTTAGAACTGCCTGAAACTGGTGGCTTGGAAAGGTGGGTCTTTCCCTTACCCTCTTAACTTGACTCTTTTTCCCGTAACTATCTATTTTGAAAATTTTCAAACCTTGAAAAGAATTGCAAGAATACTCACGTGGACAGGTTTACATACTTTAACCTATCTTGCCCTGATTTTTTTTAAAGGACCATCTGCCACATCAGGACACCGCTAAGTCCCTCCTCCCCAGTCACGGTGGCAACACTGAGTTCCCGCTGGTCCTGTTCATGTTCAGGTCTCCCGGTGGCCAGTGAGTCCGGGAAATAAACAAGTCAGTGTGTGTAAGCGTGTCACGCACCCGCTCTTCCTGGACTGCCTCTGTAGGGTGCAGCCACGCCCCACCTCTCTTCCGTAACACGGTGCAGCTGCAGATTGATATGGTCGTCTGCCTACTCAGTTTTCTTTCACAGCAAGATGGGTCGTCCCAGCCACGTCCTTATCGCACATGTCTTCTGACTCCATGGCCTCGTCGCTTGTGGTGCCTTTTCCTCAGGAGCAGGCCCTCGGCCGGCTTGTCTGTCTGGTGTTACAGTGACATTCGAGCATGTCCATTCTTTCCAGAACACTCCTCAGTGTGGGCTCATCTGATGTCTCTTCATCACGAGATTCAGACTGTGTGTTCCATACTACATGGAGGACTTGGTGTCCCTCCCAGGGCATCACATCCTGAGACACACATGCTTGTTTACTCTGCCATGGCCTTGTTTGTTCCTCTTTTACACTTAAGCGAAATTCACAAAACATAAAATTACCATTTTAAAGTGAACAACTCAGTGACAGTACGTTCACGGTGTTACGCAGTCACCACCTCTCTCTCATTAGGAAACATTTCTGTCACTCCAAGCCAGGTGCACTGGCACGTGCCTGCAGTGCCAGCTGCCAGGGAGGCCCAGGTGGGAGGGTCCTGGAGCACAGGAGTTCAAGGCTAGTCTCAGCAACATAGGGAGACCCATTTCCTTGACACCAGAACAAACCCCTGCCCATTAAGCAGTTCTCCCCCTTCCTCCTTTCTCTCAGCATCTGGCAGCTGCCAGCGTTCTCTGCAGTTTCCCATTCTGGGCATTTCATGTAAATGGAATGATAGCAGTTTGAGTGTCAATGGGTATGTGACCTTTTGTGTCTGGCATCATTCACATTGCATGTTTTTGCAGCTGTCCTCTTGGTAGCAGGAATCAGGATTTCTCTTTTTTTTGCTAAAAAAGGGCTCCTACTGCATGGATAGAGCCCAGTTTGTTTTCACATTCTTCCATTGATGAGCACTTGGGGCTGTTTATGTCTTTTGGCTGTTGTGAATAGTGCTGCTGTGCACATGTGTGTACATGTATTTGAGTAACTGTTTTCACTTTCGTGTACCTGTGAGTGGAATGCTGGGTCTATGTGGAAATTGTTTAACTTTTGAAGAACAACCAAATTGTTTTCTACAGTGGCTGTACCATTTTACATTCCCACCTGCAGTGTTTGTGGGTTCTGACTTCCCACATCCTCCTCTTTTTTTTTTTTCAATAGCCATCCTAGTGGGCATGAAATGGTACCTTATTATTATGGTTTTGATTTGCATTTCCCTAATGATTAATTATGTTGAACATTTTTCTTGGACTTGTTGGTTATTCCTATACCTTCTTTGGAGAAGAGTCTACCAAGGCCTTTGCCCATTTTTTAATTGGGTGATATGACTTTGTGATTGAATTCTAAGAGTTCCCTATGTATTCTGAGTACTGGGCCCTTGTCAAATACTTCATTTGCAAGTATTTTATTTTATTCTGTACGTTGTCATTTCCCATTCCTGATAATGTCCTAATTTGGAATAAGTTCAGTTTACCCATGTTGTTGCTGCTGCACGTGCTTTTGGTGTCATAGCTAAGAATCCATGGTCAAATCTAAGGTGATGAAAATTTACCCTGTTTTCATCTAAAAGTTTTACGTCTCTCCTTATGGTAGTTCACACAGTTTTCTTTTTCTTTCTTTCTCTTTTTTTCTTTCTTTCTTTCTCTCCCTTCCTCCCTCCCTCCCTTCCTTCCTGTCCGAGTTTCACTCTGTTGCCCAGGCTGGAGTGCAGTAGCACACTCATAGCCACTCCAGTGTCGACCTGCTGGGCTCTGGCAATCCTGCCTCACCCTTCCGAGTAGCCGGAACTACAGGTACACGCTAGCACGCCCGGCTAAGTTTTTTTTTTTAATTTACTGTAGATACGAGGTCTTGCAAAGTTGCCTGGGCTGGTCTCGAACCCGCGGGCTCAGGCAGTCCACTCGCCTCGGCCTCCCAAAGTACTGGGAGCCACTGAGCCCGGCCTCACACTGTTTTCTTATTGTAACTTTGTAGTTCATTTTGAAGTAGTAATCTAGGAGGTGTGAGTCCTTTAGCTTTGTTTTTCTTTTTTAATATTGTTTTGACTATTCTGAATTCCTTGCAATTCTATGTGAACTTGAGAATTGTCTCTTCCATTTCTGCAAAAAAAGGCCATTGGAATTTCAGTAGAGATTTCACTGAGTCTATAAATCACTTTGGGGAGTACGGCCCTCTTAACAATATTAAGTGTTTTATTCCATGAACATGGGAAGTCTTTCCATTTATTTATGTCTTTAAATTTTTTCAGTAATGTGTTACAGTTTATAGTGTACACATTTTTCACTTCTTTGGTTTCTAGCTGTTTTATATTGGATAGTATTGTAAATGGAATTGTTTTTCTTAATTTCCTTTTTAGATTGTCTATTGCTGGTGTATAGAAATACAACTAATGTTTGTGTTGTCGGTCTTATACCCTACAGCTTTACAGATTTTGTTTAATGTTTTTGTGGATTCTACATATAGAATCATGTCATCTGCAAATATAGTTTTGCTTCCTTTCTAACTTGCATACCTTTTTATTTATTCCTCTTGCCTATAATTGCCCTGGCTAGAACTGGCGCCGTGTTGAAGAGCAGTGGTGAAAGCGGGCATCCTTGTCTTGTTCCTGACCTTAGGGGGAGAGCTTTGTCTCCAGCCCTTGAGTGTGAAGTTAGCTGTGGGTCTTCATAAACACCTTGTATCGTGTTGAAGGTGCCCTCAACTCCTAGTGCTTTTCGCATGAGGAAGTGTTATGGTGGCCACTTTGGACCACTTAGTTGCAGGTCATCTGGTTTCCTCGCTACCAAGTCACTCTTTCTCTTGTAATTATAGTCATTTGTGCTTGCGCTTGAACATAGGTCTGTAACTCTCACCAGCAAGCTTAAGGACTACGTCAGTTGCCCGTATAAAGGGTGTGTGTTCTCGTCACCAAAAGAAAAGAGCAGTCGCCACATCTGTCCCCAAGTGTCTGGCTGGGCGGTGTGCGCCTCCTCGGATCAGGGCGACGGGTGCTTATGCTGCCGCCTCTGTGTTAACAGCCCGACTCGGACTCCACCAAACACTCGACTCCATCGAACAGCTCCAATCCCAGCGGCCCGCCAAGCCCCAACTCCCCCCACAGGAGCCAGCTCCCCCTTGAAGGCCTGGAGCAGCCGGCCTGTGACGCCTGAAGCCACCTGCCAGCCAGCACGGGGCCAGGGAGCTGGGACGGCGCCACCACCAGCGCCAAGACTGAGCTGACCCTCCAGTGTTGTCCGAGGAAATGGAGAATCCATTTGTAGATATGGAGATGAAGAAGAATCTTTATTATAATAATGACCAGTTTCCCGCCGTGTTGTTCGCGGTGGCAGACCGTACCCACGTGTGTGCGCAGCTGTGAGGCGGCCGTTCCGTTTGCACATGAAGGACCCCACGCAGCTGCTCGCCCACCCCCGCAGGCCAGAACGGGGCGCAGGGCCTATCCACGTGCCGCCCCGGCGGGAGGCCACTGCTCGGGCTGTGGGGGCAGGCAGCTGGGGAACCCGCCTCCAGGACGAGTCTTTCCGTCTCACAGGACCTCAGAAGAACCGTGGGAAGTCGTTACCAGTCCCAGAGTCACTAGAATTTCGAAGACAGGAGAGTGGAGACTCGTTTGTGGCCTTTTTATGCAGTTTAGCCCTTGCATAGTCCACTGCAGAAGTTCTTCTGCTGACCACCTAGTTGTGGACAGAGGCAGGACCAGTGATGCCCTGCGCGTGCTAGCTCGTCCTGGGTTACGGCTACGAAGTGTCACCAGTCTCCGACTGTGAAGTCAGCTGTACTCTCTGTTCTCCACTCCCTCCGTGGCTGCCTCTGCCCTGGAGTCTGCGAGTGTCCTGGGCAGGCCACCCGTGCCTGCTGGGCTGAGAGGCGGCCAGTGCCCAGGAGCCTCGCGGCAGGCTCTGGGACGCCCCTCCCACCCCGCCTGGCCCTGCCCTGCATGGACCCCATGGTTAGTGCCCGTATGGATCCTGTAGAGCCACCCGACACGCCTGCACATCGGCCCCCATGGCGTGGGGATGCCCCGCGCGTTTCACCTCACCCCTCCCTGTGTCAGATGTTGATGATCAGGTCTGTGGCCCTATCTCATGAAAGGCTTGTGATTCTCTGTGGCAGCAGACAGAGCTTGTCCCGGCTCAGGACGCCTCCCTGCCTTCCACCGACAGACACTTGGCAACGCTGTTCAGGACGCACTTACCTGAGTCGGCACTGAGTGGCCTGGCACCGCCCGCCCCTCCCACCCTCCCGGGCCTTCTGTGGGGCAGCGCCTGCCAGGGGTTCTGGTTTTTACTTTTTTAATGTAAGTCTGAGTCTTTGTAATTATTGAATCGTGAGAACATTTTTGAACAGTTTACCTGTCAATAAAGCAGAAGATCAGCAGTTTTAAAGCTCCCAGCGGTGTGTCTGGATGTGATGGTGCATTGCCACAGCGTCTGGGCTCCCTGGGAGTGCCCCAAGCTGGGGATTCCTCCCAGGAGGCAGGGGAAGAGCCACCCTGCCGTGGAGGCCACTCGGAAGTCATGCAGAAGGCTGCCAGTGTCTGGAGCTGGGGTACCTGGCCGATTGCTTCTGCCGGGTGTCCAGACCCCATGAGCATGCCGAGGTGTACGTCTTTCAACCCAAGCAGGGCAGCCCTCGAGGCTGGGCAGAGTGGTGTCCGGTGGGAGGAGGATGGTATACCCGTGGGCCCTGGCAGTGTGGGAGCCCCAGAGGGAGTGCCCAGGTGGCTTTGCCCGTGTATGCCCAGCACTGACCCCACAGCAGCCCAAAAGGACCAGGCCAGAGGCCCAAGGCCCTTGGCAGAGGCAGGAGCTCAAGGGGAGGTTGGGCCAGGGCGAGCAAAGACATTGGGGTGGGGGACATGGTGGGGCCAGTTTCCCCAAGTTTTGTGGAGAGTTGGGCTGTTTATGTCCAGCTCATTCTTTAAGACAGGAGCAGCAACAGCACTCAGGAGGAGGGCAGGGTGGGGAGAGGACCCTCGCAGGCCTGGCGGGGGCTGCTCAGAGCTCCTCCTCCTCCTCCAGCGCGTTGGGAGGGTGCCTGCCCGGCACAGTGGTGTCGTGAACGTAGGGTGAGCTGCCCCTCACTCAGGTTGAGTGAGAGATGAGCACGCCTGGCCCTAGAAAGCAAGCCATGATCTAGACTTTTAAAGTGAGATGCTTGGCTGGCTCGGTGGCTCAGCCTGTAATCCCAGCGCTTTGGGAGGCCAAGGCGAGTGAACTGCCTGAGCCCGTGGGTCCGAGACCCGCCTGGGCAACTTGGTGAGACCTCATCTCTACAATAAATCAAAAATTAGCTGGGTGTGGTAGTACCTGCCTGCAATGCTGGCTACTTGGAAGGCTGAGGCAGAAGGATTGCCGGAGCCTAACAGGTAGATGCTGGGGTGGCCATGAGTGCCAATGCACTCCAGCCTGGGCGACGGAGTGAGATTCCAGCTCAAAAATAAAAAATTTAAAAAAAAAAATGAGATGCTCATAAACGAGTGGCCTGTGGCTTCACACATGGGACACTGCAGCACCAAGAGTGCCACATCCCAGCCACATGACACAGGTGCGCCCTGAGTCACGGGCACCCTGATCCGATTACGGGAAGCTTCTCAGCAGCTAAGCTGGGCCCCTAGTCAGAAGTCGGGAGATTCCCTGAGGGGGCTGGGCAGACTGGGAGGCCCGAGATGTCTGCAGCCCCAGATACTGAGTACACAGAAGCAATCCCTTTGCCGCAGTTTAGGCTGTACACGTGGGGTCAGTGCCCCTGTCAGAACGTGTGCACACGGTGTGATGCCCGTGTGGTTTTTCTTCCCCTTGGGGTCTCTACGATGCACCAGCTGTGCGTCCTAACTCTAGGCTGCTCAGTGCTCACACCCAGCCCCCCAGGTCAGAGCCAGCATAAGGGGGAGGCCGCCCTGCAGTGACACCAAACCCTGCCCAGCCGGGCGCCATGCTCCAGTGTGCTGATGGGCTCAGCACTGTCGCCCTTGCCCAAGGCCACCATGTCCCCCTGACTGGCCCCTGTCTCATCTAGACCCTTCCTCGCCCCCTCCCAGGGTTCTCCTCTCCTTCACTTTCTCCAGCATCCCGCCCCCACTTGCCTTGGTGGGGCGCTTTCCCTCCCTCCCTCCCTCCCTCAGTTCTGGGTTCCGAGCCTCTGGCCG